TTGTTGTTGTTGTTGTTGTTGTTGTTGTTGTTGTTGTTGAACATTCTTAATTCTAAAGAATAATTATTGTTGGGCCCCCTGGTGCGCGCCCCCCCCGCCGCGCCTAGGCCGCAGCCACGTTTTCATCATTTTCGTGAGGAAGCCTCAGGTAATTCGAGGTGATCAAGATCCGGTTGTTTTGTTGTAATCCGTTTTCCCTTGCAAAAAACACTATAAAATGAAATTTCTTGTTCTAATATAATCAAATTTCAAGAATCCCTTGCAAAAAATAAGGTAAAGTGGACATTCGCGCGCGCAAGACGAAATCCTTCCAAAAGCTTAGTGTTCGGAGCGATTTTAACATAAAAACATCAAAAAACCAATGGTTTTTCAACAAAAAATGTCAAAATCTCATCCCGCGCGCTCTTGCGGATTCGTAGGAAACCCAACACTTTTTAAACATTTCTGTCAAACGGGCTTTTGCGAGCAACTTTTTCGAACTTCTGCGACAACGGTTGCGCACCTGCCAGGGCCATCATCCCTGTCAAATAATACCATGCGGGACACATTCGTCTCTCTGTATTATGTATTGTATGGCACAATTGCACCATGCTGGGCACATGCGCGCCCCGAATAAGTGACCAAGTTCTGTGGGTGTGTACCCCACGCCAGTGTAGTAGCCACGGTCGTCCGCACGCCACGAAGTGAAGTGTCCCAACGTCATAGGGCGGGAAGCTGGGTTTGGGTGGTCGCGAAGAGTCGTTTGGATATTTGGTAGAGCTTGTAATGCCCCCCCACGAAGTGGGGGTATTGCCTGGTGTCGTATGAAAACCCTAGCACTGGGGAGAACACCACGCGTTCGGGTAAAATGATTGTTGTTGTTGTTGTTGTTGTTGTTGTTGTTGTTGTTGTTTTGTTTTCGGCGTGTCGGCGGTGCCAGCCGCAAGAGGAGGAGGAGGAGAAGGAGGAGAAGGAGGAGGAGGACGAGGAGGAGGAGGGGCGGCGTGGCCAAAGCCCAGGCAATGCCGGCGGGGGTCGCCTCTGGAGAAGGGGGCGCCAGCCCCTGCAGGGAACGAGGCCCCCAGGGAGCCCCCCGGAACCTTCCAGGACTCCCGAGGGCGTCCAAGAGCGCCCACGACCCCATCGATCGTCGATCCTCCCCGAGACCCTCGATCCTCGATCTCCAGGATGAGCTGGTGACTCTTCTGATACTGCGGTTGATGGACAATATCCTGCACCTTTTATTTATGTTGACTTCAGTGAACACCCCCCGCGCCCCCAATGTAATATCTCTGGACTGCGCCGCGATGTGTCGATCTCTTGACTGGCCGAAGTTCTGCGGCCCGATGGAGGTGCCAATCACGATTGAATCGGGGACAGAAACTTGGCCATCAACCGTCCCCCCCCGATCCTCGATGTCTAGGATGAGCTGGTGACACCCATACGGCTGGCGCTGGGAAGATAGCGTGCAGCATCGATCTCCGAACAGCAAGAAGTCCCTGTGAGGTGGTCTCCCCACACAAGGCTCATTCAGTGCACGCGCCCCCCCCCTACACAAGCTTGGGGGGTTCCCTATCCGCGACGAGGATGTACAGCAAGTTGTTGTCGTGGACATCGGCCGATTCTGGACCACTGGCAGCGTCAAATGATGGAAGCCCCGCGCTGGGGTCGCCGCCGCGTGGACACGACATGAGCTTGCCGCATCCCGCCCCGAAGTACCTGGCAGCTCGGCGCCTGTCGGCTTCCCGCGCGCCGAGACGCGCGCGCGGGCATACAACGCGAGAGCGGGAGCAGAGCAAGAGAGACGCCCGCGAAGACTCAGTATCTTACTCCACCTCTCAGACCCCCCGCCTGGGCTTCTTCGGCGCACGCTGTCCCGAGGGTGGGGGGCAGCGTGCACTGCGCGGGCCAGCGGCGCCGCATCGCACGCCATCGATCCACCGCTGACCGTAGTGATGGCTCCCTCTTCGAGTAGAGGATCGACTACAGAATCGACGTACCCCAACAGCGATTTTCTCGTCGAGCCTACGACCAATACCTAGGATCTTCGTAGATCTACGCAAAATCTACGCTTCTCTTGTGACTTCGGCGAGGTAATCACTTTAGAGGTGAATCATTTCTGTGGTCGATCCCCAACTCGCCCCCCCTGAAATCCGACGGCGCGAAGAAATTGCAACTTGGCAGAAGACCCCACCTCACGAGCGGGATCGATCTGCGAGGGCCCCGGGGCCCGCAAAAAAACACGCCTGTCGGGAAACAAAAAATCAGCATCTTAAGAAATCGCGCCCGCAGCCCTGGACTCCACCTTTCTGCTTCATGTTTCGAGCCGGGGCCTGAAAGAAAGCGAACAAAAAAGCCCGTTGCGAAAAAATGGCAACGCCAGGATCTAGGCCACTGGCACTGCCTGAAAAGAGCGGCGGCGCCGCCCAGCGATGCATCGGCGAAGTCGGCGATGCATCGTCGACGTCGGCGTGGAGAATATCGGGCTCCACATCGAGCCGCATCCCCGATGCATCGGCGATGCGACAGGATCCCCCCACCACATCTACTCCGAGCCCCTGTAGGCCTACGGCAGCCGATCCCCTACTTGGCGCCTGGCACAGCCCGCAGAGAGCGGCGGCGCCGCCCAGAGGTCTGGGCCGCTGCGCGTTCGAGGGCGCGACAAAAAAACAACTTCGTAAAAATCGCGCAAGGCGCCGCGGACCTCAACTTTCTGCATCATGTTTCGACCCGGGTCGATCTGTGAGGGCCCCGGGGGCCCGAAGCGGGGCGAAGACGCCCGTGGCGCACAAATGCAACGACGCCAGGGTCCGAGAGCCTGGACCTGCCCGAACATCGGCCGCGAGCGAGGGGGGGAAGTGAGCAGGAGAGGGCCTTCTCCGAAGGCGGCGGCTCTTCTCGGAAGCCCTCGCGCCTTCTAACAGAGGTTTTTGTCTGTCCTCGGGGAAGGCCGAGAGAACTTCTCGAGACGGCCGGGGGACTTCCAAGACTTCTGAGAGGGCCCGCCCCTTCTCGCGTCCCCCCCTTAGGAGGAGGAGGAGGCGGAGGAGGAGAGGCGGAGGAAGAGGAGGAGGAGGAGGAGGAGGAGGAGGAGGAGGAGGAGGAGGAGAGGAGGAGGAGGAGGAGGAGGAGGAGAGGCAGAGGAGGAGGAGGAGGAGGAGGAGGAGGAGGAGGCGGAGGAGGAAGGAGAGACGGAGGAGGAGCCGCGGAGGAGGAATGCGGGAGGAGCCCAGAAAAGAGCGGCGGCGCCGCCCGGAGGTCCAGGCCGCTGCGCGTTCGAGGGCGCGGGCGGCGCGGGCCGCGAGGCGGCCCGCGTGGGCGCGGCCCGGCCGCCGCAGACGGCGACCTGCCGCGGGGGGGCGGAAGGCGGCCGCAGACGACGGCCTGGCCACGGCGGCCACGACAACGACGGCGGCGACGGCGACCACGACGACGACGACGACGACGACGACGACGACGGCGGCGACGACGACGACGACGACGACGACGACGACGACGACGACGACTATCGACGACGGCGGCGGCCTGGCCGCGGCGGCGACGGCGGCCTGGCAACGACGACGGCGGCGACGACGACGTGGCGACGACGGCGGCGGCGACCTGGCGGCGGCAGCGACGGCTGCGGCGACGATGACGGCGGCGGGGGCCTTCGGCGGCGGCGGCCTGGCGACGGCGGCGGCGACCTCACGACGTCCTGACCAAAACGGCGGCAGCGGCGGCGACGACCCCAGATCTCCGAAGGTGTAATTTGTTCAATCCCGGCCTTCTTCCGAGGACATTGAAAACGGATCGGGGACGGCAAACTCGCGCTGGGGAAAGGGTCGGCACATGTCGGAACTCTGGGGCCGCGGCTGAACAAAACAACGCATCGTCGGATGCCTGGTACAGTCGGACCTAGGACAGAAGAGCATCCTTCGAACATGCGACCCCTCCCCCGGCCAAGACACCCCAAACCATAAGATCACTCGAGGGCGACGGCGGCGGCGGCGGCGACGGCGAGAGAGGGGCTCCTTCTCCTCGAGGGGGGCGGCGAGGAGCAGGGGGGCCACGAGGGGGAGTAGAAAGAGGAGGGGCAGGAGGAGTGTGGGAGGAGGAGGAGGAGGAGGAGGAGAAGGAGGAGAAGGAGGAGAAGGAGGAGGAGGAGGAGGAGGAGGAGGAAGAGGAGAAAAAGAAGGACGATCAGGAGGTGGAGGAGGAGGTGGAGGAGGAGGAAGGCGACGACGACGACGACGACGACGACGACGACGACGACGACGACGCCTTCGCTTCAGAGGTTTCCGAAGGTTCCTGGCAGTTCCCTCGGCGCCGCGGGCGGCCGCAGGCGGACGAGCCGGCGCCCGGGTGGGCGCCGCGATCGGCTCAGGGTCCGATGCTGGCAGCACTCTTGGCGGATGAGGGCGGCAAAGACGACGACGGGCGGGAGGACGGGAGGCAGGGGGGCGAGGCAGGGGGGGGGGGGGGCAGGAGGAGGAAAAAGGAGGAGGAGGCGAGGAAGAAGTGGGGGGGCAGGAGGAGGTTAGTGTGATGAAGCAGATGCCGAAGAAGATGCCCAGGAGGAGGTGGAGGAGGAGGAGGAGGAGGAGGAGGAGGAGGAGGATGAGGAGGAAAATTACGGGGAAGGGGCAGGATCATGAGAGGAGGAGGAGAAGAGGGAGGGGAGGCAGGCGGGAAGGGAGAGAGGGAGGGAAGAGCGCGAGGGAAGGGAAGAAAGGAGGGAGGTGGGAGAAGGAGGGGGCGCTGGGAAGAAGATGAGGGAGGGGGAGGAGAGGGCCCAGTGGGCCGGCAAAGACTTCCAGAAGGTTCCAGGGGGGCTCCACTGTGGTTCCAGCGGGCTCGAGGGGATCGGGAGGATGAGGGACAGAAGAAGAGTGTGGAAGAGGATGCCGTGGAGCAGGAGCATGAGGGTGATGACGACGACGGGGAGGATGCACAAGGAGGGGCGAAGGGACGGGCGAGGAGGCGGAGGAGGGAGGGAGAGTGAACGAGGAAGGACAAGGGAGAATTGAGAAGGGGAGGGCGACCTTCAGCTCGCTGCACGCTCGCAGAAACCCGTCCATGTACGGCCGCACCTGCACGGGGTCCACCATGGACTGCCAACCGAAGTGCTCGTCCAGCAGGTCCGCGATCATGTCCTCGTCGAAGGACCTGTCTCGTCGGCGCCGCTGGCACTGCTGGCGCCGCCGTCGACGCAGGAGCACGAGAGAGGGCGTCGAGGCGGAGGAGCAGGAAAGACCTGGGCGAGGCGCAGACGGAGCGAGCGGGCGGAGCGGGACGCGAGGGATGGCGGAGGCCGAGGAGGCGCAAGACGTTCGGGGAGCACGGGGTCCACGGCCGCAACGGGGCCACAATGATGGCTGTCTTGGGGGCCCCCTCCGCCCCCGCCTGCGACGCGGCGGCGCCCACCACGGCCACGGTCGAGGACGGCCACCACCACCACGGCGGAGACCACCACGACCACGATACCGAGAACCGTCACCACCACGACGACGACGACGACGACGACGACGACGACGACGAAGACGACGACGACGACGACACACCACGACGACGACCACGGCCACATCGACCACGACGGCCCAAGCCACGCCGACGGCGACCACCACCACGACGACGACCACCACCAAGCACCAAGACGGCGGCCACGACATCCGCGACGAAGTGAGAACCACCACCACGCGGCGACGGCGGCGCCTGTCGAGCACGCCGTGGTGGCGCAGCATAGCCACCGCCTCGGGCGCGTAGTCGCGCATCGGCCGCGGCTCCCATCCAGGCGGCGGCGCCCAGCCAGGCGGTGGGCCTTGCCGTCGTCGTCTTGGGTCGTCGTTCGTCGTCGTCACCGACGCCGCAAGATGAGGAGGAGGAGGAGGAGAAGGAGGAGGAGGAGGAGAGGTTAGAAGAGAGGAGGAGGCGGAGGAGAACGAGGAGGCGGAGGCGGAGGAGGAGGAGGAGGAGGAGGAGGAGGAGGAGAGGTCAATAGAGAGGAGGGGAGGACCGACCGGAAAAAAAGCTGCACGCGGCGCGAGCTCTGCTGCTGGCCCACTCCCGGCCCCCCGCCCCTCCCGGGCGCGGGCGGGCCCGGCCGCCCGCGCAGAGCCGGCGAATAATTACGAGCAGGCAGGCTCGAGCCTCGAAGCCTCGAGCCTCGAAGCTCGAGCAGCTCGAAGCTCGAAAGCTCGAGCGGGTAAGCTCGATCCTCGATCCTCGAAAGCTCGAGCAGCTCGAAAGCTCGAGCCTCCTCGAAGCTCGACCCTCGAAAGCTCGAGCCTCGAAAGCTCGAGCAGCTCGAAAGCTCGAGCCTCGAATGCTCGAGCAGGTGAGCTCGATCCTCGAAAGCTCGAGCAGGCAAGCTCGAGCCTCGAAGGCTCGAGCCTCCTCGCGCCGTCAACGCAACCAATGCGAGGGGAGGCTTCTGGCCGATCGCGGCCCCTGCAGAGCCCCCTGCCGGGCGGGGCCGTCAAGGCATCATCGCCGGCCCGACGGGCCAGGGGCGTGCTAAGATCTGCGGCGAGAGTTGCAAAGCCTCTGCTTCTAGTTCGATCGCGCGGGGGGCGGCCCCTGGGCGTCCCCGGGCGAAGAGTGCCCCGGCAAGGTGCCAGCAGGTCTGGGCCACAAGATGCTGGAAATCGCCGGGCCGCGCCCTGGGGGCCCTATAGGAGCGCCCCGGGAGCGCCCCAGGGAGGCGCCAGGTGTGCCGCAGGCCCCACGGCCTCAGGCGAAGATCGGGTCGGGCGAAAGGGGGGGATAGCAAAGGGGGGGGGTGAGAGTCGGCTCACGTAGCTGATTTTTCCGGCGCCTCCCGGCGCCGGAGGCGGCTATGTATCGAGGAAGGGGCCCCTGGGTGAGGCCGAAACCAGCTGCATGCAGCAAATTTTGTGACCCCCCCTTTCCCGATCCCCCCCTTTCGTCCGGCCCGAGAAGAGCGTTCCAAGATGGCTCGAGTGGTTCTCAAGGCGGCCCAAGACGCGCCCAAGAGGCCCCAGGAGGGCCCCAAAGGAGGACCCCAAGGGGGCCCGAAGAGGCAGAATTCATCGTTGTTGCTTGGGGTGTTTGAAAGATGTTGGCGTTGCCGCCTTTTCAATCTTCCGAACGCCCAGGACTGCCCGAGAGGCCTCCAAGATCGCCCCAAGTCAGCCTAAAAGGCTCCCAGGACGACCCCAAGACTGCCCGAAAGAGCCCCAAGACGGCCCAACATGCCGTCCCAGGGGGCTCCAGAGTCTCCCATGAGGGCCCCAAGAGGGGGGATCCGAACAGACATACCGAGCCTTCCCCGAAAGTTGGCCCCCGAGACCGCCAGCAGGTCCCCACGAAGCCCGCAAGGCCCCCAGAAGCTCAAAAGGATGGCCCGGAACCTGGCGCAAACGCCCTGCTCAGAGAAATTGAGACGCCAAGATCTCAAAGCTTCGAACACGGGCTCCCCATGAGGCCCGACCCGTTCCCCAGGGCCGATTTTCCATCTCCAGGATGCCGACAACGGCCAAAAACCCCCCGCCGTGACTTCTGCAACGACGCGGGCATGGTTTGGGCCTCTGGCCTTCGGGTCATCACTTTCGGGAGCGGCCAAGAGGGGGGGGTCCAAGAGGGGGGGGTGCAAATCATGACCGGCGGCATGTGCGCGGCCCAGGGGGGGGGGGCCAGGGACGTAATGAAATAAGAAGAGGCGCCATGAAATCTGGGGAAATATAATGGCCCCCGCCATGATATCCCCCCCCCCCCTAGTCATCCCCCCCCTCTTTTCCGCCCCCGATTTCGGCTCACAGCTCGGCCCTCCCGCGGCCGTCCGGGACGCTCCGGGCAGCCCCAAGGAAAGGCTCTCGGCGGGGCGCAGCCGCTGGAAGAAGGCGCCCCGAGGCTGGAGAGCCGCCGAGCACCCGCGCAGACCTCCGCGAGCCTCGAGCCTCGACGCCGAATAGTCCCCCCCGGCGAGCGACCCCGGGCTGGCCATCGCTCGGACGTCCATTCCCTGTGCTTCTTTCGGTCTCGCGCGTGTTTTTTCGCCAAATGATCAAGGATGCTCCTCGATGGTCCTCGCCAAAGGAAACATGCACACGTCCGAGCGATGCCAAGACCCCGGGCAGGAGGCACGTCGCCGCTGCACTTCGACGCCGGCGGCGGCGCCTGGCGGCGGCGCGCCCGGCGGCAGCGCGCCCGGCGGCGGCAGCGCGCCCCAGGCGTCCGCCGGGGGCGGCGGGCCCCAGGCCCCGCCCCAGGCGTCGTGCGGCGGCGGCATGCCTGGGGGGAGGGCTGCGGTGAGCGGCGGCGGCGCGCCTGGGAAAGTTGATACCCTCACGAGGCTGAACCCAAAAGTGGTGTTTTCCGTGGTCGTTTGGCGTTTGGTTCTCTTCCTCGTGTCTTGCCTTCGCTTCTTCTTCTTCTTCGCGAATGCAGGACACGACGAAGAACACAAGTCGGCCCGCGGGATGGCCAAAACACCGTTCACGTCCAGCCTGAGGGCCTCCTCCTCCTCCTCCTCCTCCTCCTCCTCCTCCTCCTTCTCCTCTTCCTCCCCCTCTTCCTCCCCCTCCCCCTCCTCCTCCTCCTCCTCCTCCTCCTCCTCCTCCTCCTCCGACGCCCGGGGGGCAGGCAGCACCGACGGCGGAACAGTTTGCATTCTACACCGTTCTCCGCCTTCGGGCTTCGGGGACCCCTATACCAAAGGGCTCCAGACTGCGCGCTTCACGCTGCGCGCAGCGCGAAGAACTTCGCGCTCTCGCGCCGCCCCCCCCCAGGGGAGAAGAGGAGGATGAGGAGGAATCGGAGTAACTAGAACCGCGGAGCACGAAGCGCGAACAACTTCGCGCCATCGAGGGCGCCCTTGCAAACGGTGGGGTGACCACGTGGTGAGGTGGTGGGGCTGTTGAAATTTTACACACGTGCGGAATTGCGGAAGTTTTCCAGTCGCAGGCTGGTTTCCATCAACTGCGCCTCGCCGAGGGCGTTCGGGGGGGTGCGGAGGAGGAGGAGGAGGAGGGATGAGGAGGAGGGAGGAGGGAGGAGGGAGGAGGGCTGAGGACGGAGGGAGGACGAAGGGAGGCCGGAGGACGAGGATGGAGGAGGAGGAGGACGGAGGAGGAGGCCGGAGGACGAGGATGCAGGAGGAGGAGGAGGAGGAGGAGGAGGAGGAGGAGGAGGGAGGAGGAGGATGATCTCAGACTCGCTCGCCCCTTCAAACCATCACGACGGACGTCTTTGCTTCCATCATTCGGCCTCGGCGGGCCCTCGCCGGGCCCTGGCACCCTCAACAGAACGACTCGGGATGGAAAGCTGGACCCCCTGGCCTCGTGAAGGCATCACGACGGGCGTCCTTGCTTCCATTGTTCGGCCTCTAAAGGGCCCTCGCCGGGCCCCGGGGCCGTCCATGCGTAAAACGACCCGGGATGGACAACTGGTCAGGGGAGTTGGTCGGGACCTCTGGGGGTCAACGCTGCGTGAGAATCATGGTGTCGGGGGACTGGGATGGAGGAGGATGAGGAGGAGGAGGGAGAACGGGAAGGGAGGAGGGAAAGGGGGAGGGAGGGATGAATAAAAACGGGGGAGGCACGGAGAGGAAGCGGGGAGGAGAAGCAGATCGGAAGCGGGGGGGAAGAGGGATCCAGAAGGGCAATACAGTCCACCAGTGTAATAAGGATGCGCATTAACGATGCAAGGACGATGGAGGGCCATGCTAAACGTTTTCCAGACGAGGTTGGCCAGCGAAAGTCGTTAAGGATGGGCCGAAGGGGCAAGGATGCAAGTGTAGCCTTGGAAAGTTGATTAACCTTACTCTGCGGGTTGACTGAGGGAGGGAGAGGGAGGAGGGGTAGGCTTGAAGGATGCGAACACGAGGATGCAGGGAGGAAGATGGAGGAGGGGTAGGGATGAGGGATGCAAGCACGAGGAGGCAGGAGGATGGAAGGGCGGAGGACTGCCGACGCCATGGGCTCAATTCTCGATGGCATGCGAAGAGAAGAAGGAGGGCCCTCCCTGGGCCACGACGCCGCGACAAAAACTGCAACATCGTGAACCATCCCGACTGGAGCCCCCGACACGACCTTCTTGGGCATCGTTCGAGCCTCACCGATCCGTAAAGGTCCTGTGGCCCGAAACAAGGCAACACCGATAGTTTTGGAAAGATTGCGACGCCAGGATCTCAAGAAAGGCGAAGGGTTACATGGAAGGACTACCTGAGACGTACAATGCACGGGCACCCAACTATGCTACTCTGCTACTGGCCTCAGCAATAACGCGCTGCGCATCTCTCTGATGCAGCGCCTTATGGATCTTTATGGGCATCCCTTCGGGGTGCGGGGGAGGGCGGAGGAAGGCATCACACCACGGGCTCACCCTGATAGCATGCCGAAGAACCAGGCCTCCAACGTCTTCTACCCAACGTTGTAGAAGTTTCTCCGGAATTTCTGGGGAATTTCTAAAGAAACTTTTGGGGAATTTCCGGGGAATTTCTGGGGGAATTTCTGGGGAAATTTGTCACAGCGGGATCCCCAGAAACTTCGACCCTCTCCCCAGGGCTGGCTTGTCGTCCCGAGCGCCGCTGTCTTCGGCGGATCCCCGGGTCTGGCGAGGGCCACGGGACGCCGAGCACTGCCAGAAGCCTCCCGCCGTGGGCTCGGTTACGACGCCGGCGCGGCTTGGCCCTCGAAGCCCCCAGAAATGCCCCCCAGAAGTGCCCCGAAGCCTGGTGGAGACGCCCTGCTCGAGAAAAAGTGGAGGCGCCAAGCTCCCAGCACTGCAGACGCAGGCTTCCCGTAGGAGTCCC